ATGTTATATTTTTATAGGGGTTATCCAAATATCGACTGATGATGTTTTCTTCCCTTATTTTGGGGAATAAAATCTTGGCCTTCCTGAAATCACTGATTATGAGTTTCCTCAGCTACATAAATCAAGACTAACATAGCTAAAGCCAATGTGAAGTGGAAATCAGTCTTTTGGACTTGACCATCACTTTGCAGTACTGAAGGTCAGGCCTGTAACAACGTTTACTTACCTAAGCTTGAGTAACTGATCCAGAACAATTGAAAATACTTGTTATATGCTGTGTGGTAAACAGATAAACTGCAGCCTAGCTTAAAAATAAAATAAAAAGGAAATGCAGTTGGTTATTTTTCACTCCTGCCTTCACTAGGCCCAACCTTGCATTTCTTAAAAAATTCCTCAAAATGAGACCACATGAAGACGCTTCTCACCAGTACAAGGAAAGCACACGACTTAGAGCAGTCCCCACAAATCAGTTGATACTTCTGGAGATAATTATGTGCTAATTTTGTCAGATGCATGTTAGCATCAGACCATAACCTAATTAAACAGAAAATAGTTGTAACATGAGAATCTGTATGCAGGTATGAGAAGGTGCAGCTTCATTAACGTAAGGCTGGCAGTCACACTTAATCTTCCCCCATGCACACGTGGCTTTACCTCTCTTCTCTGCAAAGGAATTACTCTTTAACTGAAAGTTGCCAGCCATAAAAGCTTCTTTTTGACAAATCTGATGCGGACACTCGCATGATTCATTTGCAGCCTGTTCCCAACCCTTACTTTCGATATGGAAATTTGGAACCATTTTCAAAAGCCTATGAGGAATCAACTGTCCTTTTAAAAATACTACTGTACCTTTTAAGTATGCAGATTGCCAGGCTGAATTTTAAATGCAATCACTTTGCTTCCAGTACTCTCTAAAAATCAGGAGTCACAGTCTGCATGAATCAGTCCTCTGCACCTAGGACCTGCTATTTCCATCATTTTAAGCCTGTGTGCTGCAATTACGTGAATTGTCCACTGTTTTTCCCCAGCCTCCTCCATGAAATGCATATGCAATATAAAACCCATTTATCATACTGGAAATTGCTATTGTATTTAATCTTCCCAAAGAGAGCAAAATCAAATTATGATGTGTAAAGAATGATAATCTGCCAAATTCAAGGGAATACTCCAAATTTATCCCTCCACGTCTGCAATAGAACAGGTCAAAGAGGTCTAATGTAGAAGACATGGGTAGGAAGACATGATGTGAGCATACATAATGAGAAGATGAAAACTCTCTTAATCTTTACAGATTGAATGAAATCTAATTACATGCTGTATTGATTGTTGTGTATTACTGCAAAGAGACAGTGAAAAGGGAAAAAGGCAATTACAGTGAAATTGTAGTCTGACCCTTCAATTGCTTTTGGTATGAAAGGTTATGCTGTAGTCGGGGCATCAAAAATTCTTTATCCTCTATGGTAAATCATTAGCAACAGATAGATGCAAAACTGATTAAGGGAAAAATTCAGTCAATTAAATCTTTTTTTATTTTTTCCCCTTTACAAAAAATAGAGGCAAAGGAAGAAAATACCAATGAGTTATCATTATGCCATTTCATGAATTGCTACCAAGTCTATCTGGCATTAGTTCTGTGTTGACTGACAATAAATCATATTCATCAATAGAAATATCATAGTAAAAATGAAAAAATAGATGAACTAGATCTAGAATAACTCAGCTTTTCAAAATAAATATTATACCCAAAGTCAAATATTAAGAGGTAATATAAAGTTTCACCAAGGGAATTCCACAGACAAGTTTCATTGCTTTTCTTTCCCTTTGCACGCTCCATCCATTTACTTCCACCAAAACCAGCAGCAACTGAGCGTAAAGAAAGCTTTCAAAAATACTATTTCTCTAAGTTGATAGAAAAGCAAAGCACGAGCCAAATGAAAACTATTGTTTGGGTGTATGTCTGCACGACTCTGCAGGCATCATGGCAATTCTCATTCACTCTATTCTAAAAATTCTTGTTCTGCCAAAGATAAGTGCAAGGACCAGCTTTCTACTGACTTTCACGCACGGTCCTCTGCGTTGTACACACACCTCTACAGGCATTGTATGCACAGTTTTTATTCAGACTGAAAAGTTAATGAGTTCTCTAGTGATCTGTTTAAGCTGCCTCCTGATATAGTTGTAAGCATTACTGCTTGTGTTTATTTTTCCTTGCAGAAGGTACACTTTCAAGTAACATTTCTTTGATTGCATGAAAACAAATAAGTGTGACAGAAACAAAATTCTGTGTGGCTGCAGCTGCAGGGCTGGTCTCTCACGGAAGTGTCTTTCCATTACACTGGATCTTCAAGAGTCCCTGGAAAATCCAGGTAAGGTCTTACCAGTTTAGGACTAATCTGAATAGAAGAGAAAAATTAAATAAAAGAACGCTGAGACTTTATTACCAAAAATATAGGATACTTAATAAGTGGCTCTAAATTTGCTGATCTCAAAACAGAAAGAACCAAGATTAGAAAATTGAAATACCGATCTGGACAGACCTACAGTAACAATAATATTGAGCTGGACTCAAACTCCTGGTGCTTGCAGTAGTTCTGGATATGCAAGGAATTCATATTCCTTATGAATAAAATCTGTCTACCCATGTCTGTCTCTCCCTATAAAAGTGACTTTGACCCACCTCATTAAAAGTAACATCCAAGAAGGCCTCAGATAGCTCTCTAACCTTGTGATAAAGCAATATACAGGATAACGTCTGAGAAACCTTGCTCGACACTAGGACGAAACTGCACAGCTCCAGAGCAGGCAGAGTGCTTGTGTAATACCAGTCTTTCCATGAGACACGGTAGCGCATTGTCACAGACTGGCTCCCTTGAATCTCAATGCTGTCAGAGCAGCACTATGCCCATTAACGGCATAAGTAACGAGTTGTATTAAAAACAGAATACCAGTGAGCTAAACCCAAACATAGATGCTTGATCCTGATTTCACTTACAGTGATGCAACTCTGATGATTTCAGTGGAGCACCTCCCGATTTTTTAGGACTTTTCAGTTTTGTTGCCACAGGATGGGGGGGGAGGGGGGGGGAAACCCAAGAAAGTGACAAAGTATCTTTTCATAATGATGATGAAATAATTAATCTGTGCTAATGTACCACTGTGTAATAAAAAACCCAACCGTGTCAGCGAGAAACTGAAGGGAAATGAATAGGAAATTTGAACAGCTCAGCTTGGAAAACTTTCTGTATTTTTCTGTGTAAGAACTTTCAAGAAGAAACTGCCTACGGTGTTTATCATGACCTGAAGAAGCAACGTAACATTTCAATTCAAGTAATTTCACTGTGAATTTCCATACCCAACAAACCAAATTAAAGAAGAAGAAAAAAGTCCCCCAAATAGAGGCATACTTTACAGAGAACTTCACGTTTACTGTGAAGCCACAGTCATTACGTGCAATGGTGCCTGCCCAGCACATTAAGGACTCCTGCTGATTCTCCAGGGGATGCTATACTGAGATGAATCTATAGCAGATAAAATCCTGCCCAAAGTCTCACCTATAAACACCAACAACAACAAATCAATTTGGGCCAAAAAACACATTCAGTTGAGCTACGATGGATATAGCCTGGGGACTAATCTAATTTAGTTTGGGAACTCTATGGCTTTGTTGAATTTGGGAGGAGGATTTCCCTCTTAAATCCTACATTCTTCAAAACTGCTCCAAAATACAGTCAGGAAACACAGCTGTTGACACTTTCCCTCTAATTCAAGAATGTGTATTTTTGTGACTAACACCCACACTTCACATTCCCCTTCTCTCTTCTCCGTTTTATACAGATGAGTGTGTAAGGGGATGCCTGTTCTGTAACACTTGCTGGCATAGACTGCATATTACCATAACAGCCTAACCTACCCAGATTTATAGAGTCATTCAGAAAGTAGTAATAGGAAATATACTTTATCCTAACCCTCCTATTTGTCTGCATTTTGAGACTACAGTAGCCTTTGTTAAATCACTGTTATGAGTAAGATTTTCACAAGCAGCCTAGAAGCATATTTGGTATACTTAAACATATTTACACTGGAAGTTTTATTTGGTGCTAGACACTAAATGTTACATTTATATTATAATTTCATGTAAAAGTTCACTCCTTCAGCCTCTTCTTATCCAAAGCACTGACGCATTTAATCACATACTTATTTCTTTGATGTTCCACATTTAGAACTTTACGAATCTATGCAAATAAAAATGCACTTGTTTTAAAGAATTAGTTTCTATATGAAACGTTAGTTGTCCTATAACAACTTTTATGGCTTCGCCTGTTCTAACTACCATGGAAGGGTTCTTTGCTTACCTACCAAGATTTTTCAAGGCTGGTGAATTAGAACAGAATGTCATAAAAAGAAGTGGTGGATGCTTCCCCTCCTCACCAAAGATAATACCAAATTTAAATGGCAAAGTCATTAAGGAAACATATAGGTGCTCTGTTTAAATAGACCATTAAAAGTACACAACGTAAGAACTCAGTAGAATGTTTTTAAACTAGTTCTGAGACCAAGTATATGACTTAGAGCTATAACCTAACAGTGCATTTGCTACACAAACACCTACCCATGCAGAGTTAATATATCCAGGCAAACTATAAAACCTGGAACAGTTTGTAGGGACTTCCACCAATCCTTAAACCCATGAACTCTGCAGCCTCCTTAACTTTGTACCTATTGAGGAAGTCCTGACTTTGGACCGAGAGTTGTCAGGGGAGGCGGGGGAGGCTCAACAAATCCCTCCAGCAAAACCCTGCAGC